CTGGGGACTTTAGACACAGAGAGGGAGAAGGGCTGGGTGTCGACAATCGGGGGGCAGGCTTGTAGTGTATACCCTTTGGTTGGTTGAGGATGCATGGAGGGGATTGTAACCATGGCAATGGAATGATATACGATAGGATAAATGTAAAACTAATGTTCTCCCATATAAACTATCATATAATTCACAATAAAACATTTATATATATATATAATCCTTTCACTTTCTTTTCTTGTATATCTCTGCAGACCTAGTCCAATCCACCTAGTCCAATCCACCTTTATCTCTTGGTATTAATATCACAATACCCTCCAATAGCATAGTGGTTGCAAATCAGGCTCCGAACCACAAGGTCAGCAGTTTGAAACTACCAGCTGTTCCATGGGAGAAAGATGAGGCTTTCTGCTTCCGTAAAGATTTACAGCCTTGGAAATAGGGTCACTATGAGTTGGAACCGACTCCATAGCACACAACAACAGCAACATCAACCCTCCAATTGAACACCCTTCTATTTTTGTTTCTCTCTAACTGATTTCCAGAAGTCCTGGTGTGATGCTGTAGGATAAACACTGAACTGCTGGCTACAAGGCTAGTAGTTCAAACCCATCAGATGTTCCTTGGAAACTCAATATAGGGTTACTATCATTCGATGGCACTTAACAACAACAACTGATTGCCACACAGTAGCCAGACAGACCTTTTAAAAGAAGTTATTCCAGAGAACAAACAAGATGGCGGATCAGGTGGAAGTACAGTGAGGAGCTCCATCAGGAACAACACAGAATACTGGACCAAGCAGGCTGAGGGGATTTTCCCAGAACTCTGAACCACATATAAAGGAATATTTAGAAGGTTGGAAGGCTTACAGCTAGGAGAATTTGTAGCCGAAGCAAGGAATCCATTGCTTTCTAATTCAAGATGCTCAGCTGCTCCAGAAGCCACCATCTTGGGTGAGACCAAGCGGGGGAAGGATCAGAGCAGCCACGGACACCTGACAGAACCACGGAGATAAAGGTGTGGACATTCTTTTCTTTTGTATGTGTTCATTGGTCTCTCGCTGTCTGCGCACCTCCATTCTGGTGACTATAGGGGTGCCTGAGCTAGTTGACACCCCAGCCCCACCCTCAGAGGGTTCTACTACGCATGCATACAGATCTCCTCGAAATTTAAAGAGACAGCTTCCACTTAAAACCACAGCTTCCACTTAAAACCAAACGGCCACAGCCGGCCCTGAACTGTTTATAACTAGAAAAAAGATCTGAATGGGGATTGTTGAGCGAGACAGGCAGACTAAAAAGGAAATAGGCAGAAAATTACATCCTGAGTTACATCAAAATGACCAACAGTGGCATCTTGAAATTTCTCTGGAAGAAGACTGAAAAGGGGAAGCCCATTTCCTGATCACATCTACCTGGAGGCAATCAGAAAGCATAAAAAAATACCAAAGTACATACCCATCTAAGAATTAAGGCCACAGATAATTCCTGAATATGCCCCCAAAAATAGAAGCAGATGACCATATCTGCACATGTCCAGAAACGACATAAAGTGACTGAGGCAAATGAAATGGAAGTAGACCTACACTCCATACTGGAAGATGGGCAGGCTTTGGAAATGCCTGAGAAGGAAATCAGAAAAATGATTATAAAATGTATCAAAACACTATATAATTGGAGTTGAGAAAAATAAGGAAGAAGTCAGAAAAGCGTTACAGGAACAATCAAATAAAATAGATACAGCATTGGAAACAATTCAAAACCTACAGAAAGAGGTCCAAACAATTAATAATAGAATATAAAAAATGGACAATCCACTGAAAGGGCAAAGGAGTAGAATTGAAGAGATAGAAGCCAGAACTAGTGAGCCACAAGATAAATCTCTCAACACTACTAACATAGAAGAGCAATACCAAAAAAGGATAAAAAAAATCTGAAGAAGGCCTAAGATTCATGTTGGACAACATGTGTTTTCACTCTTTTGACAGTGTGCTTGGATACACCAAAGGCTTTAATTCTGATGAAGTCTAATTTATCTATTTTTTACCCCTACTATTGTCTGTGCTTTTGGAAGCCTATCTAAGAATCCATTGCCACATCCAAGATCATGAAGCTTCTCCCATGTTTTCTTCTACGAGTTTCATAGTTGTAGCTCTCAGATTAAGACCTTTGACTGAATTTGAGTTGATTTTTATGTATGGCTTAAGCCAACAGTCTTGCATATGGACTCCCAGTTTCCCCAGCACTGTTTGTTCAACTGCTGACTTAAAAAAAAAAATTAAAGACACTTTTTAATTGTGCAAAAAATATAGGTAACAGAACATTTGCCATATTAGCAACCTCACATGTATAGTTTAGTAACATTAAATCACTTTGTTTAATTATCACCATTCTCTTTCTATCTATGGATGGTTTGAGCAAACAGAAAGTTACTTCCTTATAGTTTAAGGGGCTAGAAGTCCAAATTCAGGGTTCCAGCTCTATAGTGGTTGGTGGTCATATGCTGTGGAGTCGATTCCGACTCATAGCGAACCTGCACAGAGTTTCCAAGGCTGTCAATCTTTACAAGAGCAGAAAGCCTCGTCTTTCTCCTGAGGAACAGCCGGTAGTTTTGAACTGCTGACCTTCAGGTTAGCAGCCTGACTCATAACCACGATGCTACCAGAGCTCCTTGCCAACTCTATAGGAAGAACTGCTCTCTCTGTTGGCTCTAAGCGAAGGTTCTTGTCTTTTTTCAACATCTGTACGCTCAGCATTCCTTGGAGATGTCCATATGTCTTGGCATCAATTTTACCCTGAGTCTAGAAGCTTCTCAACTTGGGGATTCCCTCAGGCTGAGTTCCCTAGGGAAGTAAAACAAGTGAAACTTATATATGTATATATAAAGAAAGGTTCATATCAAGGAAATGGCTCCCACTGCTGGTTACTTCCAAGTCCGTGGGCTAGAGGTCAGGCTGGAGACTTCTGATTCACGTAGCCACAGGGCTGATGAACAAAGATCAGCAGGTCAGACGGCAGGCAGGCAGGTCCAGCAGTTAAGAAGGCAGTCTGCTGACAACTCTCAGGACTGGCAGGTAATAGATAGAGTATGCCACGGGCTCAAGTCCAAAGAAGCAGAGGTTGGAGGATGAGTCAGCTACAAGATCCAGACAGTGGAAAACAAGTCGGCCTTGCCTGAGTATCCAGCATCCAATATATAATGGAATCAGGCCACACCCCTGAGGAAGCCTCCCTTTAATTGATTGGCTGCTCAGAGCTGACATCATCACCAAGTTGATTACATTATATTAGGTCTCATCATGGGGATAACCGCATCGACAACTGCCAAGCACTGGCAATTCTGGCCCAGTCACGTTGACGCAACGTAAACTATCACAAGGATCCTGGCTCCAATGAGACACTCTGCCGCTCCCAGGCCTTAGTTCTCAGTGACAATGAGGTCCCTCTGATTTCTGATTGATTATGTCTCTTTTCTATCTCAAAAGAGGTTGATTCAAGATGCAACCTAATCATATAGATTAGTAACATAACTGTCCCTAATTATGCCTCACTAACATCACAGAGATTCGAATCCACAACACATAGGATAATTAGATCAGATCACAATAGAGAGGAAAATTACATAATATTGAGAATCATGACCTGTCCAAATTACATACATTTTGGGGGAACACAACTGATTTAATAACAGCCATTATCCAACCCCAAATTTCTTCATCACCCCTAAGAGAAGTACAGTGTCCCCAAGTGTTATGTCTTCCCCCCACCTCCTGATGGTCACTGGTAGCCCCTGATAAACTTTGATATCTATATACCTGCCTATTCTAGATACTGCATATTGCTTCTGACTCACAGCAACCCTGTATAGAGTTTCCAAGGAGCAGCAGGTGGGTTTGAACTGCCAACCTATGGTTTGCAGGCCACTGCTTCTCCTACAGTGCCACCCAGAAAGAGAACTTCAGATAGTGCATAGAAGTGGGATCTTACAATATTTGTCCTTTTGTGACTGGCACTTCACTTTTAATTGGGTCATATTCTAAGGCTACCTACCTTAACATGACTTTATATAAAGGGGAGAATTGACTCTTTTTTTCCTGGAAATTCTTGTCCAGAAAGATAAAGTTGTGGATATTGTAGACAATGAGTAACTACACTGTTAGCTTCAGGAACTTTCTGGAAATCAGTTGTTGTTGGTGGTGGTGAGCCATGGAAAAGTGACTGTGCAGGGTTTCTGAGGTTGTAAATCTTAATGGAAGCAGAAAGCCTCATCTTGTTCCTGTGGAATAGCTGGTAGTTTCGAACTGCTGATCTTAAGGTTAGCAGTCCGGCTTGTAACCACTATGCTACCAGAGCTCCTTGGAAATCAGTTAGGACTCACTTATCCAGCACGGTTGTGTACCTTGTGTCCAGTAATACTACCAACATCAAGAACTTAGTCTAAGCCCAGTCAAATCTGCACTGAAAGAAGTGAACCCCATTATTAAAGTTCTGTAAACACTGAGAGTTCAGAGGAGTTGCTGACCTACAGGCTCTCTGGGGGGCTTTTCCCTTACTGCCTGAAGAACACATTCTTCTGGTGGCCTTTTAGAGATTTGGCAGCTGAAAGTCCCATTCTCCACTCCACCCCCTTGAACACAGAACAGTCTGCTGAGTGATGAAAGAACAAATGGACACTTACCCTCCCCTCCCACACTCTTTATTCTCAAAGTCACGGGAACAGAAACGGCACCCTTCATTTGTAATAGTTCTTTTTTTGGACTCCTGGTGTGGTGCTATAGGGTAAGCACTAGACTGCTGAACACCAGGTCAGTGGTTCAAACCCACTAACTGCTCTTTGGAAACCCTATACAGAGTCAGTATGAGCCGGAACCAACTAGCTGGCACTTAACAACAGTCCTCATTTTGGAAACTAGAAGAGAAACCTGTAGGTGGCCCACAAGTCCCTTCCCTCTCCCAGGCCCAGGCAGCAGGCTGTGCAGCCCACTCGCCTCTCTCCCTTGTGCACAGGGCGACAGCGCTGGACCGCTACCAACTGCAGAAGGGGGGCTTCACGCATGTGCTGAATGCAGCTCATGGCCGCTGGAACGTGGACACCGGGGCTGACTACTACCGCGATATGATCATCGAATACTTTGGTGTTGAGGCTGAAGACATACCTACCTTCGACCTCAGTGTCTTCTTCTACCCGGCAGCTGCCTTCATCCAAGATGCGCTCAGTGACGACCACAGTAAGGCCCTCGCCCCGCCTCTCCGGCCCTGGCCCACCTTAGAAGGGACAGGATCAGTGCACCCTCTAAGTTTGCTATGTGTGGTTGTGGTGGTGATGTCTCAACCTCTGGAGGATGTAGGGGCTTAGGAGCTTGTCCCACCTTGTGGAACACATCTGTGATTTGGACCTTGATTGGTTCTCTGGGGAAACCAGAATCGGGAGGGTTTAGAGGAATGGCCTTTGGCCTGAATCTCTCTTCTGTTGGTAACATCAGACATTTTTCAAATGGCTGGGGCCATTAGGATGCCCTCAAAGCTGGAATTGTATGTTGCTGTTATTAAGTGCCATCAACTCGATTCCAACCCATTGCAACCTGGTATAGGGATTCCAAGGAGCAGCTGGTGAGCTTGAACCACCAACCTTATGGTTCAAACTGACTTTGTAGTCCAGCACATTAACCCACAGCGCACACCAGGACTTGTACGGTGGTAGTATATGCCTTGGAGTTGGTTCCAATTCATAGTGACCCTGCATAGGGTTTCAGAGACTGTACATTTTTATGGAAGCTGAAAAACTCATCTGTCTTCCGCAGAAAAGCTGGTAGTTTTGAACTGCAGACCTTGAGGTTATCAGCCCAACTTGTAACCATGATGCTTCTATTTATGTCTGGGTCCAAACCTAATAGTCAAGGGGTTCAGTGTTGGAAAACGGAATTGAGAGTCCACGAAGAGACTTCCAGTTCTCCTGCCAACCAAGCAAGCTCTCGGGCTCCTTTCTACCCTTTTCATGCTAGTCACACTCAGCCCTTTAAGGCTCCTCCAAGATGGCTGACAACCTGGGCTTTATAAGTGGCAAAGTGTATTTGAGAATACGGCTTTTTAACCTGAAGTCCAAGATGACTTATCCATTTTTAAGTCACAGCGCTAATCCTGGTCCTCAAAATGCAGTTTTGGCTGCCCGAATTCAGGCAAAAGCTGTAAGGCTATTTTGGAGGGAAGGACACAGTTTAGGTATGCATCAGGGTAATATACTGCACTTATTTGTGGGAATATTTCAGTTACATTCCTAAGAGACTTCAACTCTCTAATCAGGGCTCTGACTTCAGTCCCTCTCCTTGACTATTAATCTTTTGTGGGCTGTCACATAATTCACGGTTTCTCCTTACTGAAAGTCGTTCTTGACACAAGAGGTTGGGATTACAAGGCTCACTGACCAACAGGCCCTGACCCAACAACTGGTCATAGCTACCAACAATCTGCCATTGTTTTGATTCAAAAAACAATGTCACAGTGGAAATCTCCATAGATCTGAAGTCCTTGTGTTAGGAGATAACGTCATTTCTAAGTCAGCCTTTGATGACTCTATTTATGGACTATCTTTTGTGTTATGTAGACTTTGGGTTTCCAAGCAGGCTCAAAAAAGCAACTGGACTCTGACTCATCACCATGAGGTAAAACTCGCCTTAGAGTATTTGAAGTTAACATAAAACATATTTGATGTGAAAAAACAAAGCCATAATCTAATCCCTCAGTTTCTGTTTAACGTGCACACTGGCCTTGACTATACCTTAAACTGCCTTATTAATGGAAGGGGCCGCAAGCTTCGGAGAAGACAGGGCTGGGTTCAGCTTCACGTGGCACGACTTGCTAACGATGTGATTGCTCTGGACCTTGGGTTCTCCATCTGGTGATGAAAGTATTTACCTGGCAAGGTTAAAACGGGATCAGCAGCCAACACTGAGCATAAAACCTGGTTCCCAGCAGGCTCTCAGATGTGTTTGATAAAGAAAGGTCTATGAAGCGTATAACCACACCAGCACATGCACATAATAATAATAAAATCTCCAATCCCAAACCGGAAAAAAAAAAAAAAAGTGGAAAAAAGACATTCCAACTTTGAACTAGTGTAATCTATTCATGTGACAGACAGCTTGTTTTAGATTCTCAACACCCTTCCAAACCCTTCACCCCCACTAAATCAGGAAAGAATTGGGCTCTCAAGTCCTATATTTAAGCCTGGGCAGATCCCAGAGCATTGAGGAGACAGTGTCGGACTCATATGTGTCTGTCATAGCTGCTAAACTAGGTGGTCGTAAGAAGTAGGGAAAGGAAGGGTGAAGCGGAAGAGTAAGTCACAGAACGTGCAGGGGACACTGTGTAGGTACAGGGGATCGGGAGCAAGACAAGATCCCACTCTCATGGTGGTCTGGAGTCAGCGCTCACTGCCCTTTTCATTTATATATCCATACATGACACATTAGGATCAGCACTAGACTGCTAACCACAAGGTCGGTGGTTCAAACCCACCAACCACTACTCAGAAACCCTATACAGGGTCGCTATGAGTCAGAATAGAGTCCTGGTGTGGTGCTGTGGGTTAATGTGCCAGAATGCAAAGCTGTTTGAACTGCAAGGTCGGTGGTTCAAGCTCACCAGTCGCTCCTCGGAAACCCTATACAGGGTCGCTATGGGTTGGATCCTACTCAAAGGCACTTAACAACAACAAAGAGTCAGAATGGACTCAATGGCACTTAACAACAGCAACAAGATTCCCTCAAGTCAAGAGTTCACATACCAATCCCTCAGGACCAGGCAGAGGGTGTAAATGAATGAAGCTGACGGTAATTAAGGCAGTGGGGTATGGGTGGAGGGGGCTGTAGTTAAACAGAACCCCATGACGCCCTTTAGGGGGGCAGTTGCTCCTCATCACCGGCCAATTTTGTGAGGATCAGAGGGAAAAATGTCATAGATCTTCTGACTCTTCCAGAGAAATCTCAAATCTGTATTTTTAATGTAAAACCACTCACTTTGTAAGTGTTGGCATGACATTTAAAATTTCTGAGACTGCTGCAAAGTCCAAACAAAGGAATTCTGATGGCCATCAGTCTTTTGTTGTGTTTTTTCCAGAGGAAAGGAGAAAGTTTTAACCTCAGAGAAGGTGTTCGAATTACTGCAGCTGAGTCTTCAGTCCCTGATAGTTCTGCAGACCTTGTAATGCAGCGGTGAGAAACGTCCATCCGAGAGCCATATAAGGCCCACAAAATCATTTTGTCTGGCCCTGCCAAGGCAACTGCAGTTCCAGTCATCACTTTGTTGTTAAGTGTCAAGTCAGTTCCGATTTATGACCAAATATAGCAGGTTAATTTTTAAGTTGATAATTTGTATGGCCTGAGAATGATGTTATAAGTTTTGGCAGAAAAAATTTTCCTTTAGGAACTCTGGCCTTTAGTTTCCAAGGTGTCTGTTCTTCCTTCTCTGATTATACTTACAACATCAGAGCTAAAAGCCTTACAGAATCCAGCCCCTTCATTGTGCAACCGAGGAGACTACAGGGCCAGAAAGGGCAATAGTTTGCTCAAGATTCATAGACAGTTTTCTTGTGTCTTTTTCCGTGTCTCATTTCCCATAGTCCTTTTCTCCTTGCTTTCTTATAATCACTTCCTCTTTCTATAAAACTCATTTGTTTGCATAGCATAAGTATAGCTTTTAGGCTTTTGATGCCAAATTGAAATCTCCCACCCTTCCAATAGTTAACTAGATGTTTCACTAACACCCTACACTCAATATGTTTGAAACAGCACCTTTCCCCACAAGGCTAGCCTCCCTGTCTGATGATGGTCCTAAGTTTGTAAACTGGATCCTGAGTGATCAGCATAATAAAACAAAATGCTCATTATCTTTACATGGACTTTTTATTTTAATGGACTTGGTATGCTCTGTAGTGTCAGTGCCCAGCCTTCACAACCACAGTCAGTAACTGACCTGGTTGTGTTTACTCCTGTGTTAGAAAACCAAGGGACACTACGGTAGCATTTTAGAGCCAGATCCACTCTTGATGTAAGAGGTGTGGATGGATGGTGTGGCCAAAGGCCAGTCACCGCTCTCCTCCCTCTTGTCCTTAATGCTCTCTGTGGCCTGGTTTCAGCCAAGCATACAGCGTTTCCCACTACTACCCCTCAGAGCTTTCTCTCTGTTTTGAACAGCATCTCTTGTGGAACTGTGGAGTTGTATTTGTGATTGGGGTGGTACTTAAGGATAAACACTGAACTGTTAATCACAAGGTTGGTGATTCAAACCCACCAACTGCTCTTTGGAAATCCTATACAGGGTTGCTATGAGTCAGAACCAACTTGATGGCACTTATCAACAACAATCAGTCCAAGGGGTCCACTCCTACCCTACCCTACTTGGAGGTGACCCTTCCAAAATATCTTCCCAGTCAACCGCAAACACTCTTGAAAAACCTTAGAGATAATCTAGACCAACGCCTGAATTGAGAGTTGGGGAAACAGAGGCTTGGAGAAACCAAGGATGTGTAACCAGGATCACAGAGCTCATCGGTGGCAGTGCTGTGAGGACATCACTCATCAGAGGTGTTCCTTCTGTCACTCCGGTCTCACAGAAGAGTCCTTTGCTGTGTAAGTGGCCACCCAGTGCCACTCAGTGTTATCCAAAGCAAGGCACTCCAGCTCTTCCTAAGACTGGAACCAACTGAATTTGTCATTCTTCACCAGAAAAGGAAGGACCGGCAGAACACAACCACTAGAACCCCATTTAGAGAGCCTTAATCACTAAACTGTGGGAGAAAGGTGAGGCCTGCTTCAGTAAAGATTTACAGCCTCGGAAACCCAGTACAGGTGGCTATGGGTCAGAACCGACCTCCCACCCACTTCACCACAGAGTTTCAGGGGTAAATTGTTGTTAGGTGCCATAGAGTCACTTCCACTTCATAGTAACCTTACGCACAACAAAAGAACAACACTGCAGTGCCACGCCCGGCCCCCTCCTCACAACACTGCAGGATCACACCGCACCCCCACCTAACAGTGCATGGCCGCGACCCACCCCCTCCTCACAAACTGCAGGGTCGCACCCCCACCTCATAACAGTGCATGGCCGCGCCCCGCATCCTCCTCACAACACTGCAGGGCCGCGCCCCCGCCTCACGAAGGCTATGTTTGAGGCCATCGCTGCTGCCACCACCATGTCAGTCCACCTCCTTGGGGTCTGACACGTTACC